TCAAGCAATTTGTTGATCGCATCCTGAAGAAACACCATGCCAAACTAGAACTGTGGGCCAAATTCGCCTCCCGCCGGATCATTAAAAACTGGAATAAGCTATCTTCCGCAGTTGTTCTTGCTGAAAGCGTTGACGCATTTAAAAGCAAACTCGGTCATATATTTTGTAGCCAACAACGATTTATATAACGTACATATATGGCTTTGAAACAAATGTATGATTTTACAGCATCTATTTGTATGTAGGGTTTTCGAAGGCTCAGCCTATCTCCCTTACATACACTGAATTATATATTGAAATATTGAGGTCGCTCACCATCTCCACTCTAAACTAATGGCTCTGAAGCCTTCCCGTACTATGCGCCGAAGCTTCCGTCATATGTCTCGCAGTACATTGGCATATCAGCACTCTGCACTTCCGTGTGGACGATGTATTTATAAGAAACACCACGTCACTATACATAGCTAATACGAACGTAACATGTGCCCCTATTAAATATAGGATTTAGGATCGTTGGGGGTCTGTTCACTTGAGGCTGTCCTAAGACACATGACTAGGGGCTACCCAAAACAAGCGATGATCTTAGTAGCATGTTCAAAGCTACCGAAACACCAGCATGCAAAGGTGTTGGTGGCTAGGGCCGAATCAAGGAGTCTAGGGACTAAATCGGACACATCCGCTCACATACAAAATGGATAGCCATTGGCCACTCAAAATCCAAACATAGCATTCGATTGACAAATAGCCGTCAAAATAGGATGCCAGTTATCCAGCGTCTGCATTGCTCATGTTAACCGCTTAACTGCCATTCACAAAAATTAGTCTAGGGGCTTGTCCCCCACGATTGCTTCGACGGATGAGAAGGCCTTGCACCATTTACTTCATCTAAAAAGATGCAGTATGAAAGTGATACACGAAGTAGAGTTTACCATCTGAGTTGATGAGTGATTCTTAGTTTCGCCGTTTTTTGCGCACCGCGTCCAATGTTTTCCTAAACCTCGCCGTTATGCCATCTTCTAGCGCAAGCAAATTTGGGCGTGGATCTTTCGACCACGTCTTATAAGCGTCTATGTATTACGAGGTTAAAGGAGGTTGAACTGGATACCTGTAATGAGTTCATTCAGCGGCGTACCCTACAGGGCCTCCTTGGACTTCGTGCCGCGGGAATCCATGAGGTCAGATATCGCGTCCTGAAATAGGACGTGGAAATGCGTTTTATGAACTCATCCACATCCCATCCTCCTACACAACTTTGGAAGCGAACCTGAGGGCATGTATTAATACAGTGATTGAAACATACAAATTGTTGCTATAGTCTTCTTTCTGAATGTCCCGGTTTATCTTAATAAAGTCATCCTTGCAGCCGAGGGGCCTATCAAGGGGACTTCTCGGGATTTCTTTACATGGGTCTACTGAGACAATAGGCCTGGCAGTTAATTCCATTTACAGTGTTTAAACCGTGGCGTGCACATCTTTCAGTACACGCATTATCCAGCTAAAATGCTGTCGGTGCTCTCTGTTCATTGTATTTAATTGTCCCTGCTACTGCGTGCAGTTGTCGTTGGGAATCAACTCTCTGGTAAGCAGTGTCACAACGGACTCCGTACCGTCTACGGGGGCCTCTTCTTCTTATAAATCTGTGTTTAAGTACTAAAATAAAAAATATCTCAGGTAGTGGAATGTGCGATAACAGTCACCCGACAGCAACTTAACGCTTGGTCGAAGCTGGTCGACCTCCTCTTCTACTGCTCTACAGAAACGCTGTGTTTCCCTCAACGCACGCCGTCTCAAATAACGCCGTGAACCTTGCTTACACGTGAGAAAAAAAATATTATTTGGAAAAAACGAATATTATGGGGAAGGATAGAAAGGAACAGCAGTAATCAGCAAAAGTTAACTTGATTCAAATAGGTATATTAGGTACAGCCGGCAGAATTCGCTGGTGTATAGACAAACGTCTTCCTCACTAAGTTATGACAATGCGATACATTTAGAGAACCTTTTTCGAATAAACTAACTGGCCGTAGAGTGCGGCCAAAATGAAACAGGGTGTTGGGAGGCTATTTGGAGATAAAGGAATAACTTGACCTTACTCTGTTACATTCGAGTGCCGAAATTTTAGTGCATATTTTATTAGACATTTCGGCATCGTACGCTTCTAGCTCGCGCATACGTATTTGAAATTATAAGCGTAAAGAAGTGACCGCTTACCTCAACCAGCTACTTCCAAGTTCACATAAATCAAACTATGGTGTCCTCGAAGAAAATAGAAATGCTACCCTCAACCGTCTACTGAGGAAGATAGAACTGGAGAATAACGCCGGGGTGATGAGGTGGACCAGAAATCCTGCATATCCATTACGGGGATGCATCACTCACATCATTTTCACAAAAGTTCAGAGTAACGGTCATTATATATTTAAACGGGGAATGTACGTTCAGTCCCGATAGGTAGCTACAATACTTCTGTTTGGTCTTGGCTTATACGGACAATTGAAATTTACATGCTTTCTCTCTTTATGATAAGGATATGCGTAAGCGGAAACTTATATGGGACACTATGTACTTTATTTGTCCGGGCCAATCTTCGTCATAGGAAGTGGAAATGCTTGGGCAACAATAGATGGCATCACCGACTTTCTGCTTCCCTGTTTGAGGCTTTCTTTAAAGGTTGATCTGCAGTTTGGTAAAAAGGCAGAAATAGCACTGGGCTGGACACTCTAATATTGAGCATTCGAACTGAATTTTAGTGTGAACTAACGGATGTTACAAAATCTAGGAACTTGTGCTTAACGGCCATTTACATTTACAAATAGCACTTTCTATGCTCGTAGAGGTTCATCTCGTGCATTATAATAATTCATTCCTCAGAGTTAAGGTTTGTTTCCTTGCCAGCCATTAATCATTTGCGCCAGCTGATTAAGTCTGCAATCAAATGGATCAAGGGGTATCTATTAGGTAGACAATGCCGGGTG